TTTAGTCAGCTTTGACGAAACTCCTCTCAGCTATCACGACTTTTCAAAGTGAAAGTAGCCTTTTCACCTGACCTGAATACAGCACGCTGATTCGCTAAAATTGACTTATCGGCACAACAAGGGCGCTTGTCGGCTTCTGCAGTAAAACGTGAACTCGCGATGCCTTCAAAGTGGACAAAACCGGCTTTTCTGACAAAACGTGTTTAGGGTTCAGATCGCACTGTATGTGGAGAATAATGCATGGCAATCAGCTCATTTTTTTGAAAGTGGCGTTTAACGAAACTCCTCTCAGCTAACACGTCTTTTCAAAGTGAAAGTAGCCTTGTCACCTGACCTGAATACAGCACGCTGATTCGCTAAAATTGACTTATCGGCACAACAAGGGCGCTTGTCGGCTTCTGCAGTAAAACGTGAACTCGCGATGCCTTCAAAGTGGACAAAACCGGCTTTTCTGACAAAACGTGTTTAGGGTTCAGATCGCACTGTATGTGGAGAATAATGCATGGCAATCAGCTCATTTTTTTGAGAGTGGCGTTTATCGGTATATATATATATATATATATATATATATATACACATGTAAATGTACTATAAAAAATGTAATATAAAATACAAAAATGTAATAACAGACTATCACTGTGATAGTCTGTTATAAAATTTTTGTATTTTATACAATTTTTTATAGTGCATTTTATTGTATAATTTTATTTTATAGTATAATTTTTGAAGCCTAGGTGTGTTTTAATTATCAATATTTTTTGTCTGAGTGTTTTTCCGTGCTTTGTTTCGATTTTAACAAATGTGCTATAGAAATAAAATGTGATTATTAAAAATAATAATAATAATAAATTGTATTGAATTTTTTTGTATCACCCAGCCCTAGTTACTAGCAAAATCAATGGTCTTAATTCTCCACCCTGCTCAGAGATGAGACTTCATATGCGCCTGAAAAGGCCTTGCATGTACACAAAATATGGTCATGTCTTGTTAGAGACTGTTAGCACATTTCAAATGATCCTGATTCTGATCCTACTGTAAGTGGTTGGTTAGCCAGTAACTACAAGTCAGAAATGCTTCCATCGCTGATTTGTTTTTAGAAGTTAAATGAATATTTCATTTTAAATGGCAGATGAGATCAGGAGAGATGTACTGATCTGGACGAGGCAGGTTGATGCTGGTGCAAGCAGTGGAATCGGGTCCAGTGCTTGGCATTGGAAAGCCCTGCTCCTCCCCTCCATCAGCGCGCATTATATATATCAGCAGTGCAGCATGGAAAAGCAATGACATAGGCATGTTGCAGGAGCACATGGCAAAACATTCATTACAACAGTGGAGACTAAATCATCACACAGGGAATCCCAGGATAGTTGTTAAGTTGTTCCATTACCAGTCTGTCCTGCTGCTGACTGCGGATTCAAATGTAATGCTAAAGTCTACGAACATACAAAAAAAAGAGACCTGCACTCGACTTCAAACAGCACTGCAGAAGTTTACAACTAACTTAGATTCAATCTCTCCAGCAATGGGAAAATTCAAGTGTACTCGAGTAAGACTAGCTGTTTTGAAAATCTCCTGACTCTTTTGAGTCTTTCCAAAGCAATTGAAAAACAAAATTAATGCTCAATCGTCTGTGTAAGCGTGGAGAAAAAGTACATTACCAAACCATTCATCAAGCTAACACTTAAAATACTTAAAGTCAACATGATAGGCATTACAACCCATTTTACTTGATTGTATCCATAGGGATATGGCTTATTTGACTGAAAAAACGGGTGCTATATATCAAAATGAATCCTGACGTATACTAACATTTAAAAGTTTGGGGTCAGTAAGATTTTTTAAGGAATTAATACTTTTATTCAGAAAGGATGCATTAAATTGATCAAAAGTGACAGTAAAGACATTTATGATGCAACAAAAATGTATATTTCAAATAAATGTGGTTCTTCAAAATTTTCTATTATCCTAAAAAAATATAAAAAAATAATAAGCACCATAACTGTTTTCAACATTGATAATAATGATAAATGTTTCTTGAGCAGCAAATCAGCATATTAGAATGATTTCTGAAGGATCATGTGACACTGAAGACTGGAGTAATGATGCTAAAAATTCAGCTTTGCATCACAGGAATAAATTATATTTTAAAATATATTACAATAGAAAATAGTTATTTTGAATTGTAATAACATTTCACAATATTACTGTTTTTACTTTTTATTTTACTGCTTTTAGCAATCAAATAAATGCAGCCTTAGAGAGCATACAAGACTTTTTCAAAAACCAAACAAAAATAAATAAAATAAAAATTCGCACAGACCCCGAACTTTTGAACAGTTGTGTATCTAATTTTTTTTTTTACCAACGATTTTCATTATTTTCCAATTGTTTGTGATTCCCAAATAAGCAAATGCACTCACAAAGTAGTTTTTCCTGACAAAATACTTTAGATCTGAGCATAACTAGAGCAATTTCTATTCAATAAAGATGACTTTTTAAGATGTTACTCATTTCACTGAATTTTCCAGGCCTGGAAATCATAATTTTAAATGTTTTGTTGTTGGAACCACTGGAACCCTGTGTATTTGATTACCATTAAATCTCGCATTACAGAAATCATCAATTAGCAAATACTGTATGTTTTACTATAGCTTACTATGCAGTGACAACTACTATACCATTTGTAGGTTAGCTACTGGTCGGTTTCAGATGGGGAATAAGTTTTGATGAAAAATATAAAGACTTTTTTGGATAAACTATTTAGTAAATGGGGTCAGTTTTGATTTCATGTTGACTTTAACTGTTTATATTCACACATTAATCTAGCTATCCCACTTCCCATGTCTGCTCACCCGTGCTCTCTTCTCAGCCTCCAGTCTCTGCATAATTAGCGTGGTGTCTACATCTTCGTCATCCTCCTCCTCCTCATCCTCCTCGTTCTGCTTGGACTCCTGCAGTCTCTTCTGGAACTGCCACTCTAGCATGAGTTTGCGCAGACGGTCATTCTCCTCGGCCGTGCGTTCGGGTTTGGCCTGAAGCTCCTGGATCTCCTTGTCCAGGAGGTCCACAATGTGAAGCTGCTGCTGCTTCTCCAGTTTCTCACGGGCGTCCCTCTTCCAGGGGTCAGGCGACAGGCTGTCACTGGCGGACAGTTCCTCCTTGCTGATGGTGATGTATTGCAAGTCACGTCTCTCAATGGTGCGTGGCTGCTGCTGGGGCAAGAGGTCACGTATTACTGTGTCCTGTGGCGGCTGGCGGGGAAGGCTGGATAGCTTGTCGGGTCGAGCGGGTTGTGGCTGTGGTGGTTGGGGCGGCTGGACCGGTGGAAGGTACGGTTGGGGCACCTGCATGGGAAGCTGTGGATGGGGCATCTGTTGGTGCTGAGGGGCGGGCGGCTGCGGACCGTGCTGGTTGTTGTGCATGACTGGGCCGGGAGGGTTGCGGATCTGCACCAACTTTCGCTCTTGGTCTCTTCTCTTTCTCTCTCGTTCCTCTTCAAGCCTGGCCTTCTCCTTCTCATACCAGCGCTGTTGCTCCTCGCGTTTCTTGCGGTCGGCAGTGGCCGCAGCGGCTGCTGCCTGCTGCTGCGTAACGGAGGGTGGTGGAGGAAGCGGCAGGTTGGTTTGCGGCTCGTAGTCGTAGTGCGCAGGTGGAGGAGGAGGTGGAAGATCTGAACGGGAAGGTTGGGAGACGCCCACGGGGCCAGAGTGTGGTGCTATTGGGGTCTTCCAGCGGCCAGGGCCGCTTTTGTGATTGCCTTGGATCCTGGAGCCAGAGGATGACGAGTAGTTCAGGTGTTCTTGGCTGGAGGTGCTGGACTCCACCGAGGAGGACATCTGGTGGTTCCAGTGTTCGCCACCGCCTCGCTGGTACTCGGCCTCACGCTGCTGTTGCAGGTGCATCAGGTCTTCCTGGCGCAGGTGTTCACCTGGGTACCCGCCCGGCATGTCGCACAACTCCTCCTGAGAGTGAGCAACCCGCTAGCAGGGCACAATGACACAGCAGTGAGACATATTTATGCAAAAATGTGACATATCTGTAATGTTTGTTGCGCATAACCTTAAAAAGCTTGTAAAATTATGCTTAAAATAGGCCCAAATTTAATAGATAAACCAAACGGAAAACTAGACAAATAAATAAACAAATAAATATGATAAATTCTTGAATTTCAAATGACAATTGAATTTTTCCAAATCACATTTAAAGGATGCAGTCCTTAGTGATGCTTAATATAATTTAATTTAAGTATTATACAATTCACATTAAATTAAACTAAATTAAAAGAAAATGTAATCTGATAATCTGATTTGATCATAAATCTGATCATAACTTGGAATCAAATAGACATTTTGGCAAAGCATATTAGTAAGAGATAATACACACTGCCCTTAAAAAGCTTATGGTAGGCAGTTTTTTTTAAATTTTATTTTGTGATGTTCTTAGAAGTATTTTAGGCTCACAAAGGGTGCATTTACTTGATCAAAAATACAGTAAAAACTGTAATATTGTCAAATATTATTACAATTTAAAGTAACTGCTTTCTATGGTAATATATCTTAAAATGTAATTTAATCCTGTGATGCTAAGCTGAATTTTCAGCAGCCATTACTTCAGTCTTCAGTATATTTTGTTTTCAAGATTCTTTGATGAATAGAAACTTCAAAAGAACATAATTTATATGAAACAGAATTGTAACATAATAAAGGTCTTTACTGTCACTTTTGATAAATTTAATGCATCCTTGCTGAATACAAGCATTCATTTTTTTCAAAGAAATCTTACTGACCTCAAATTTTTAAATGGTAGAGTACATTATACAAACATAGAATACTATACATGATCTTACTAATAAATAAATAGACATGAAATAATCTACAATAACTGTACAGTTAGTGTGCTAGTACTATAGTTATACTGTGGTACTGCTAGTGTTTTGAGTTGACTGTGGTACCAGCACCATTCATATGCATTCTAATATGGCTAACCTGCATAGCCATGCTGTTGTTAGAGTGGTTATCCATAGGGGGGAGAGGCTCCAGTTCGTTGTTTTGCCAGGGCTGCCCAGGGCCCATCCTGTCCTGAGATTTGGAGGCTGGGAAGGTGAAGTATTCCCTTGGGTACGTCTGAGTGGGGATCGGATACGCCTCTGGATGGGTTGGAGAGGGCTCCTCCTGTAGGACAAACAGGGTAAAGACAGATTAGACTAAATTGGGACAGTCTAAATTCACATTCCATGTCTTTTTAGTGTATTATAATTGATTACAGAAACTAGTATAAGAGTTTGCATGTACTATATGTGTATAAGTCAATGAGAATCAAGGAGTGTGGATCAAAGAGTGATTGGCCAATCAGATGGTGGTTACAGACAAGATTAGGATTAATTACAACAAGAACACAACAAAGAGTCACGAATCAGGTTTTTATTAGGCTTCTATTAGGCTGTGGTTTTAGAGTCAAAAAAACATGTGCTAGTATGTGTTTGGATTTGAGAGTTTCTGGTGATTTAATTAAAACCAGAGGAGGCCTCACTGAAGAAGACAACTGCATTACAATATCTGAAAGTGCAACACATTTCAGCATTAAAGGGGTCATATGATGCGATAAACATTTTTCCCTTCTCTTTGGAGTGTTACAAGCTCTTGGTGCATAAAGAAGATCTGTAAAGTTGCAAAGACTAAAGTCTCAAATCCAAAGAGATATTCTTTATAAAAGTTAAGAGTCAACCACGCCTACCTAAAACGGCTCGTTCTAACACGCCCCCACATGTCTACGTCACGATGTGGGAAGATTTGCAAAACGCCACCCAAATGTTCACGCAAAGAAAGAAGGCGTAACTTTTATTCTCGCTGTAGTATTGTTGTTGCCACTGCCGCCATGTCGTGAAGGCGCTGTGTGTTTCGTTGTGAAAGCGAAACTACCGTGGACGAAGCGGAGTCCAGCCCGGGGTCGTCACATGTGCTTGCTGCAAGCCCGCCCACCGTGCCGTTCTCAAGCCCACCGGCTACCCGCTCACTCTAGCCCCCGGCCTCCGCTCACTCTAGGCGCCGGCCTCTGCTCACTCTAGCCCGCCGTGTGTGACGCTGTGTTTTGTTGTGAAAGCGAAACTACTTTGTTTGGCCTTCCAAAAGAGGAC